ACACACACACACACACACACACACACACACACACACACACACACACACACTTACATACCATACATTTCATATTAGGTTAGCTCAATGATGCAGCCCTTGTGAGCGCAATTAATACTTCAAAGACAGGAGAACTATTTTGTGTGCGTGTAATATACTTTGCAGGTATTTTTTCCTACTGATGATTCGCGTAGGCGACTATTCCTCAAAGATTTTCATGGAAATGCTGATTTCAAAATGTGAGTTATTCTCATTCAATGAGTGAATGAATATTAAGGGAAGTAATCTATGGGGTTTTCGTATGATTTCATCAATATAAAATTCATGTTTGGGTAGCAAGTTTGGACCTCATTTTTCCCCTCATTTCCCTATCAAAACTTTGAATTCAGAGGTTGGAAAGAATGAAGTTCTGGAATGCTTCACATGGCATTTCATACCTACAGTGACAGTTGTATCGTTAGCAGTTAAATTTTTCGTGCTTTTGAAAGATTGCTTATGTTTCAGGCAATTCATCACTGCAATCTCGAATGTGATTACTCGTGAATTCGCTAACATGGGCACTCCTGTTGAATGTAGCGTGATTCTCCACCATTTAAGGGTTCTCATATTTTTAGAGTGTCTAAAAAACATGCTTCTGACCAATTTGAGTTCTAGGTACCACTTTTAATTGTACACCTGCAAAACGGACTTAGTGTGGACATTCAATTTCCTGATGAAACCTTTCAAGCGATAAGGAACACAAACCTAATGCGGCATTACGTCCACGTCCGTGTGTTGTTGTAATTGCGATATTTCCAGTTTGTATGCGAAGTAGTGAATAATTTTAGTGCGATAATCGATTGTCAAAATTGTTCCTCTATCTACGATTCCTTTTCGATGCTCTGGAGATACGCGACAGCAAGTACGGTCTTCTCTCTTCCTACCATATATTATTGCTGGCCGTTCATTTTCTACAAAGTGGGCAGGTAATTTGCCTCGTGTTTTTTAAATGAAGTACATCCAACCCTCCTGATTTCGGTAATTGCATGACTGATGATGTAGGCTCTTTCTCCTTGGTCAGTGTTACCGGTTCTATGCAAAACTCACAGCAGCCTTGTCGGTGGCCACATTCCTATTGAAGATGTCGTCACAGCTTTAGACTCCCGCCATCAGCCAGTTGGTTAGTTTTCTTTTGCAATCTTGGAGTTCATTTTTTCTTGTAGCGGAGGCGAGGAGTCGCTTAACGTCTGGTTATGGAAGAAACGGCGCTTCGTTCCTACCGTCGATGAAATCGGGTAGTGGTTGCGCCCCGCTCACATAGCGCGCGGCGCATGCACTGCGATTCCGAGATGAACGCGGTTGAACCGTGCAATGGTTTGGCCGTTTCAATTATTTCACCGCGCGCGGATATACGTATGTAGTATGTGCAGCGGTGGCGCAGCTGATAGGATGGCTGGGGTTAGACATGGGGTGAGTGTTCGTGTTCTTGATGCTTGCGTTTGTTTCGCTTTCCCATAAAATGCGTCCCAAATGCTTGCAAAACGTTTTTGAGCTCGATGTTGCCTATGTACGGAGCTCTCTCTCACATTTTAGGAACACTGAAGGTATTACAAGAGAAGTTTCCTCGTCCGGCCGAGTAAGATAACTCCACCTAAGGAAAAGAGGAATTCTAAATATTTGTTCAAAATGGGCTACAGGGGCTGTGAGGAGTATCTCCGAAATGATTCGTTGGATTGAAACGCTCTTAAACTACGTTCGTTTTTGCAGCATAACGTGAGCCACCCAAGAAAGAAAGACAGGTAATAAAGAGCTTCCCAACCATACCTTTCGAGACTATGTGATCAAGTTTGTTTCCCGAGGAAGACAATCCGTGAAAGGCATTCACAGTGGTCCTCTGCGGTCGCCTGTTCATAACAGCAATGAACCCATCTTATTGCGAGAGGAACCTCGTACGTCTATGGGGATATAGAGGTTCCGAAGTGGAAGAGTCTACAGCCACTTTGAGTGCCAAACGAAACCGCACTTTCACGCGCATGATAAACAACTTCTGTCCCATCACGACCGAGTGTCATCTAAGGAAGTTGAATGTTTGGGTGTGAGAGAGACCATGAGCTTTCTATCTAGTCTATTTTCGGCAAAATATGGTGTCTTATCTGGTTGTAGTTATCAGGTGCAAAACAAGCGCACCGATCTATCTGCCTATGGAGATTAAGTTGGAAGGATAAGTTATCGATAAGTTGGAAGGCTAAGATATCATGAAATTGATCAGTATCTCACTGAATGTCAGTCATTTCCACCGGATGACGTCAGAATCAATAATGAAGTCCGCATAGAGGCCAACTTCAAAACAAGTTGTAGGTGGGTATAGTGCTCTGGTTCTATACATGGTATCATGCCGTACCGCATTATCCATGTCTGCCTCGAGAAAAGGTTTCGTGACAAGTAGTGAGTCATATGAGCACACAAGCCTATCAACAATTGTTCCACAGCATATTTTCTCAATGTTTATTAACTTTTACCTGCACTTCGAAGGTGCGGACAGTATTCCTCGAACGTGAGGACCGTATCCCTTCTAAAGGAGGCTGTGGTCAGACGAGTCTTTCGACTGCCCTCTGTCGTGAGTGCAGAGAGTTGCTGACAATTTCGAAACATAATCTTGAGTTTCGTAAACTTCTATTCTCCGGAATTCTCAAATGTGAGGGAGCTCCGTAGATGGCCAATATTGAACCCAAAAACGTTTTGAAGCGTTAGGACGCACTTCGTGGATAAGCGAAACGAGCGCATGTATCAAGAACTTGAACCCTCATGATATGCCTACCGCTCCGCCATCCTAGCAGCCATGTAACCGTTGTAACGGCTTTGCTTGGTTCAATGATCTGTTCGTTGCAGTGGATAACACAGAAAGGAATTGGTCTTATAATTTTGTTCCCATAATTGTCTAGCAGATTTGGATCAGAGATTTAAGA